TTTACCGTCCCTCTTATCAAAGTTATCTAACTTTTTGTAGCTTCGTCAGGTTAGACACGACGCGCGTGACCTCTGGCGGCCGCTGGCGGAACTACCGCGCACGGCCCGCACACGGGCCTGGCGGCCGCCAGTGGAACTACTGCGCAGGTGGCAGCACCTACCCGTGGAGAAGCGGCTGGCAATCGGCCGCCCCACTCCCCACCCCGCCCCCACCCAGCTGGCCGCCAGACCGTGGGAACGACTCGGCTCAGCGCTGCCGGCCGCTGGACGGGGAAACCCCGCCCCGCCGCCCGCCGCCCAACACACTGCCGCCGGGCCGGCCGGTGGAATTTTCCAGCCGTCTCTCCGGAACGGCGGCACCCCGCTCATCTTCGCACGCGCATTCAGCGGCGGCTTGTCGATTTTTCGAGTGTCGGCTGCCGATCTCCCGAGAGCCGGCCACCTGTCAGCCGCCGCTCGGCTCCGTGTTAAGCATATGGGGACGGCGAATTTCTCCCGGAGGGAAGCACCTCGCTCACAAAAGCACGTGAATCAGCCGCATTCCTGTGTGGCGCGCAATGCTGAAGAGATATGTGTTTCCGCGGGTATCTCGCAGGCCCTAAGAGAAAAAGCTCGCTGCAAAAACTCAGCGCTTCAAAAAACCCGCAATCCTACTCAAATGGATATTTAAACAAGATATCTTGGCTCGCTCCGCGTCGCTTTGGCAATCAAAGTATGAGGGAGAAAATTTGGGATCGATTGGTGTTCGTCCCGTGTTAATCGGACGTCTAGAAGCTTAGATATTCACGAAAAACTTGTTGAACTTGCCAAAGTACCTGCCAGCTTGCTGTATCACCTGCTACTTGGTAATGTACTGAAAACTTGCTAATGTACTGAAAACCTGCCAAAGGTATTTACTTGCGGGCCTAAATACCGCAAAGAGTTTAAATCAGACGTCTTAAGACGACCAAAGACTTTCAAAATTTCCCTTGGTCTCAGTTCGTTTTAATTTGTTTTCAATGAATGTTTGCAGTTTGAGTTATGCTTAATTCCAATTCGTATTTTGTTTCACCTACCTATCATTTCCCACATACTTTTTGCGTCCTACCTATTAAGCGATTACACTTACGTCGAAAGAGCCGGTGGGTGCTTATAATGCAATACCCTGCACGGTGAACAGCTTGCGAGTTTTGCAGCGGTGCGATTGCTGGGGCTTATCGCTGACTGAAAAGGGTAAATACAGTAAATACAGATGGCTGTGTTGGATCCCTTTGCTTTTGCCCAACATTCAGCGTTGGAATTGTGGCTTTACCGTCCCTCTTATTAAAGTTATCTAACTTTTTGTAGCTTCGTCAGGTTAGACACGACGCGCGCGACCTCTGTCGGCCGCTGGCGGAACTACCGCGCACGGCCCGCACACGGGCCTGGCGGCCGCCAGTGGAACTACTGCGCAGGTGGCAGCACCTGCCCGTGGAGAAGCGGCTGGACATCGGCCGCCCCACTCCCCACCCCGCCCCCACCCAGCTGGCCGCCAGACCGTGGGAACGACTCGGCTGAGCGCTGCCGGCCGCTGGACGGGGAAACCCCGCCCCGCCGCCCGCCGCCCGACACACTGCCGCCGGGCCGGCCGGTGGAATTTTCCAGCCGTCTCTCCGGAACGGCGGTACCCCGTTCATCTTCGCACGCGCATTCAGCGGCGGCTTGTCGATTTTTCGAGTGTCGGCTGCCGATCTCCCGCGAGCCGGCCACCTGTCAGCCGCCGCTCGGCTCTGTGTTAAGCGTATGGGGACGGCGAATTTCTCCCGGAGGGAAGCACCTCGCTCACAAAAGCACGTGAATCAGCCGCATTCCTGTGTGGCGCGCAATGCTGAAGAGATATGTGTTTCCGCGGGTATCTCGCAGGCCCTAACAGGAAAAGCTCGCTGCAAAAACTCAGCGTTTCAAAAAACCCGCAATCCTACTCAAATGGTATATTAAACAAGATATCTTGGCTCGCTCCGCGTCGCTTTGGCAATCAAAGTATGAGGGAGAAAATTTGGGATCGATTGGTGTTCGTCCCGTGTTAATCGGACGTCTAGAAGCTTAGATATTCACGAAAAACTTGTTGAACCTGCCAAAGTACCTGCCAGCTTGCTGTATCACCTGCTACTTGGTAATGTACTGAAAACTTGCTAATGTACTGAAAACCTGCCAAAGTACTTGGTATTTACTTGCCTAAATACCGCAAAGAACTTGTTCCTTTCCGACGTTTAAATCAGACGGCTTTAGTCGATCAAAGACTTTGCGAATTTGCCTTGGTCTCAGATAATTTTGATTTGTTCCAATGAATTATTTGTAATTTGAATTATACTTGTTCCCAATTTGTATTTTGTTTCACCTACCTATCATTTCTAACTTGTTTTAGCGTCCTACCTATTAAGCGATTACACATACGTTGAGAGAGCCGGTGGGTGGTTATAATGCAATACCCTGCACGGTGAACAGCTTGCGAGTTTTACAGCGGTGCGATTGCTGGGGCTTATCGCTGACAGAAAAGGGTAAATACAGTAAATACAGATGGCTGTGTTGGATCCCTTTGCTTTTGCCCAACATTCAGCGTTGGAATTGTGGCTTTACCGTCCCTCTTATCAAAGTTATCTAACTTTTTGTAGCTTCGTCAGGTTAGACACGACGCGCGTGACCTCTGGCGGCCGCTGGCGGAACTACCGCGCACGGCCCGCACACGGGCCTGGCGGCCGCCATTGGAACTACTGCGCAGGTGGCAGCACCTACCCGTGGAGAAGCGGCTGGCAATCGGCCGCCCCACTCCCCACCCCGCCCCCACCCAGCTGGCCGCCAGACCGTGGGAACGACTCGGCTCAGCGCTGCCGGCCGCTGGACGGGGAAACCCCGCCCCGCCGCCCGCCGCCCAACACACTGCCGCCGGGCCGGCCGGTGGAATTTTCCAGCCGTCTCTCCGGAACGGCGGCACCCCGCTCATCTTCGCACGCGCATTCAGCGGCGGCTTGTCGATTTTTCGAGTGTCGGCTGCCGATCTCCCGAGAGCCGGCCACCTGTCAGCCGCCGCTCGGCTCCGTGTTAAGCATATGGGGACGGCGAATTTCTCCCGGAGGGAAGCACCTCGCTCACAAAAGCACGTGAATCAGCCGCATTCCTGTGTGGCGCGCAATGCTGAAGAGATATGTGTTTCCGCGGGTATCTCGCAGGCCCTAACAGGAAAAGCTCGCTGCAAAAACTCAGCGCTTCAAAAAACCCGCAATCCTACTCAAATGGATATTTAAACTAGGTGACTTGCTTGCTCCGCGCGCATGATTGGGCCACAGGAGATTTGCAGCAGCCAAACGACGGGATTAGCCAATTCGAGCAGTGAATGTTTATGTGAAATCTAGCAGCAGCGATTTACCTAACTGGGCCAGGGGACAGGTCACAGTAGTTGACATGGCGAATCATTCTGACATGAATTCAGAAGGTTGACAGCGGTAATGCTGGCGTGCTAAGCTACGCTACAAAAACCGCCCTGTGTAGGCAGCATGCTCAGTAGGAGAAAAAGAGCAGTGAAGTAGAAGTAGTGTAAATGTAGCGTGCTGCTATGGCGATACACAATAGGAAGGCCGATTAGGAAACAGAAGTAAGCAAAGTGTCAAAGCGGCATTAGGCGACACACTGACCGGATTAGACACAGTCAGAATGACTTGCTGGGATTAGCTGGACTGGTCTGGTCCGATTGCCTGGCAGAGCTTATCGGATCCGGGGTTTGTTGGCGTCAGCTGCGGCTGCTGGCGGCAGCCGGTGTCGATGACTGGCGGCCCTGCTGGTTAACTGCATGGTGGCGAGAAATGTAGTCAGGGACACGGCATAAGGAAGTCAAAAGGCTCGGAGTCTTAGCCAGGCATAGTTCAGGGTCGCCGTGCCGAGGTGATGGATAGATTGAAGGTTTTATAGGGAACATCAAGGTCGGCTCCGCACACTGAACACAGCCTGTTACCAGGGTGCACTGTCGTGGAAGTGCTCCGAGCGCGCACCCCGCCCTTAACACGTTTTTAAAGTAACTTTGAAATATGATTTAAGCACAATGAAATGAGTTAAGCACACTGAAATGTCAATGTCAGCCTCCTGATGAACTTACGTTAACGATGTCAAACTTTTAGTATAACGGTTAAGGGCCCGTTACGTCAGCGCGTACCGGCATACACTCACTCACGCGCAATCATTCACCACTCCAAATACCCACAGCACCGAAAGGGTTAAGCACAGGATGCAGATGCAGCCACGCACTCACTCACTGGCACCCCCCGACGTAAGACTCGCCCCGCAGCGGTTTAGACTCCCCCTATCAAGGGGTGAAGTGTCCGATCGATCACACGACACGGACTTCAGACGTTCACACGTCTGAAAGGGGGTCTCACAACCGACAGCGACGCGCCTAACAACCGTCACACCTGACAGTTGACACAGTTACAGTCACGCACACATTCGCACACGGACTCACTCACTGACACGCTCAGACGTAAGACTCGCCCCGCAGCGGTTTAGACTCCCCCTATCAAGGGGTGAAGTGTCCGATCGATCACACGAAACGGACTTCAGACGTTCACACGTCTGAAAGGGGGTCTCACAACCAACAGCGACGCGCTAACATTTCCAGACTAAAAAATCCCAGCACACGGACCACCAGCCGTACCACACGACTGACCACAGGAGTATCTGACCGCTCTTGGACGCCGCCGCCTGACTATACTTCCGATAACGTTTAAGATTACGGCCGATGACGCACCCGCTTCCTAACGCCCAATACGATTGGCCGCAGCCTACAGTTGGCCGTCGACATTGACCACCCGGACAGACAGAGTGGCCCTCCCACTCAAGGAGCAAGGGCTTCCTCCGGCCACTCCGGGCTCAACGTCATAGCAATTGGGTGAAGGACGGCACAACGCGGGGTACATCCGATCGTCGCTCGACAACCGAACTAAGATAACGCCCCATAACGCACCCGTATGACGCCCGATCCTGGCGCGCGCACCTCACAGAACCTCTCTGTATACGACATTCCGCGTCCGATGGTTGTGCGTGGAAAGCACCTCGACTGAATCAAAGCTGCCTACGCGCGAGAGAGCCACGTAGAACTGGCCATGAGTGAAGGCCGGGGATGGCAGATATATGCCCACGCGTCGCTTAGTCTGCCCTTGGCAGCGATTGATGGTCATGGCGAATGACAGCTTGACGGGGAACTGACAGCGGCGGAATGGTCGGCCGATGCCGGAATCGACAGCGCTCACCACCAGAGGGAGGCGCGGCAAAAACAGCGTCTCGCCACGCGCGACTCCACTGGCGATTCGCAGCTCGAGCACGTTGGGCGCGGCGCGCAGCACCGTGCACAGCGTGCCGTTCACGACGCGCGGAGCGTCGAGGTTGCGCATCAACACGACCGGGGCGCCGACCTTGACCTGAAGTCGATGCGACGGCATGCCCGACACGTCGATCGCGTTGAGCACCTCGGTGGGCACCGGAGGCCCGTGATCCTCGTTGTCGTCGTCACTGATGGTGTCGACGCTAGCGTACGTGACTGTTTCGCCGGGCAGAAGGGCCAGCGCGGCCTCATTCGCCCTGTCAACGGTCGCATTTAGCGGCGAGAGGATGGCGCGCTCATGCAGCCACTCTTCATCACGGTGTCGCCCGGCCATGTCAGGGAAAATGCGATCGACCAAGGCGGCGAGACTGCGCGCCGGACTGACCACCAACTCGGGCACCTGCACCGAGTCCGGCTGTGCCACGACGGGCAGCCGGCCGTCGCCGACGCGCAGCAGGAAGTTGGCGAACTCACCGGCCTGATCGTCGCCGTTCAACGCCCGCATGTTGGTCGCGAGCTCCATGGTGTCGATCCGAGGCCACATGGGCGATGACTTGAGGCAGGCGTCAACAACCTCTGCGCGCCCGCCGCGCTTCACCACTGGCAGGATCTGTCTCCAGTCGCCAGAGAGCAGCGTCAGAACGCCGCCAAACAGCTCTTGCCTGTCGCGGACGTCTTGGAGAGCCCGGTCGACCGCCTCAGTGGCGCGCCGGTTCGTCATGGCCGCTTCGTCCCATACAATGAGGCGACAGCGGCGAAGGTAGTCGGCCTCGGGAGAGCGGCGATCAATGCCGCAGACGTTCTCGTTGTCAGGATGCAGCTGCAGAGGGATCTTGAACCGATGATGGGCAGTCGTGCCGCCCTCCAACAGGCTGGCTGCGATGCCGGATGTGGCCACTGCAACTGCCACGTGTCCCCGGCTGCGCACCTTGGCCAGCAGCAGGTTCTCCAAGAACGTCTTCCCGCAGCCGCCTGGAGCTTGCAGGAAGATGACACCCGACTCGTCATTGTCCAGCCGTCGCAGCACCTCGTCATAGACGGCGCGCTGGTCATCCGTCAGACGCGGCTCGTCGCGCTCAACGCGATCGGCCAGAGCGGCCGGGTCGTACTCGGGACCGCCGGGCGGCTCGTCGTCGTCGCCATCGGCGGCGGCGGCGGCGTCCGGCACCGGCGGCACCGGCAGTCCGTACTCCGCCAGAGATCGGAGTCGGGTCTTTTTTTTCTCAATACACGATGCTGCCGAGATACACGAGCGCTTTATGCCGATCATCTCCCGTCTGCAACTTCCGTGACGGGCCGTCTGCTCGGCCGCGGCGCCGGCGTCCGCCCGTACTAGATCGGCCGGTTTTCGTCACCGGACGAGCCCGGACTCGCCAAAAATTCAGGTAAGTTGGGGCCGACAGAGGGTGGAATTGATTGAGGGACGATCGAAAAACATGATACAAATAATAGGTAAAACATTTTGCAAGTAGGACTCGAAAATCTCTAATCGTACGATTTCCGTCAGAACCGGGTTCGACAAATGTTTGCTCCAGCTGCGGAGAGCAAACTGCGTCACTATAGTTACATACCATAATACGATAGAGGGACTGCAAAGTAAGACATAGTTTAGCTCTAAAAAAGTAGAAAAATATGGCAAGCATTTCTGTGTAACAAAGTATTCATGAACTCCTTCAAATAGGCATTTCTTTTAATACGCTTAATATTCATCACTAAATCGGCCGTTGTGTTTGGACCGAGGTGAGCTTGGTGGTGGATGCGTCACAATGATTTAGATAAAACATTTTGAATTTGGAGGGTGTTAAGATTACATATGAATGCCAATTGACCTTGAGAGCTGTTGTTAATTACTGGGATGATTTTTCAAAGGTGGTTTTGGTGCATAAAGGCTTATTTATTACGAAAAATGCAAGTGGCGCGGCTAACGTGGCGCGTGCATGATTGCCTTTAATTGAAGTGATTTATCCTAATATTTTGCCTCATGAAACAATTTGAAGCAAAAGTTTAGTTTTTGCCAGTTTTTATTAGTCTGCTGCTTAAAACATTTTGAACTTTTTTAATATGGTGATGGTGAAACGTGATGTTAGGAACTTGAAAAGCAGTTACCTAGCAGGTTAAAGCCGCCCTCTGAACCCGGGGCTCTAAATGTGCATAAAACCAACAGAACAGGTGTGGCGTCAGCAGAAATGCAAAAGCTGAACCCTTCCCTTCTAATATGACCTTGCCATTCCCAATGTAACTAAGCCTTATTTGGCCCAGCGGATGGTCAGGTGAGTCATAAATATTTTTTTTAAAATAAAAAGTATTGTGAGTATCAATGCGTGATGTTATTTTCCAATCTTAGAAGGATGTTTTCATATTTTATTGCCTGAATTCATTCAGTTTCTGCTTTGCAAAGGGTGGAAAAGGTAGTTGGAGCTGCAGCGCTCAGCTAACTGCATGATTTACTTCAAAGTACAAAGATAGGGCTGCCTGCTCCTTTTTTGGCACATTTGTTCAAAAATTTCCTGTTAGACAGGAGACATTTAAAGCCGCCCTCTGAACCCAGGGCTCTAAATGTGCATAAAACCAACAGAACAGGTGTGGCGTCAGCAGAAATGCAAAAGCTGAACCCTTCCCTTCTAATATGACCTTGCCATTCCCAATGTAACTAAGCCTTATTTGGCCCAGCGTATGGTCAGGTGAGTCATAAATATTTTTTTTAAATAAAAAGTATTGTGAGTATCAATGCGTGATGTTATTTTCCAATCTTAGAAGGATGTTTTCATATTTTATTGCCTGAATTCATTCAGTTTGTGCTTTGCAAAGGGTGGAAAAGGTAGTTGGAGCTGCAGCGCTCAGCTAACTGCATGATTTACTTCAAAGTACAAAGATAGGGCTGCCTGTTCTTTTTTTGGCACATTTGTGCAAAAATTTCCTGTTAGACAGGAGACATTTTGGTTCTCTCCAGTCAGTCATCAGTTGCTATAGAAGCTGGACCTAATTTAAATTTGCAGAACGTAACCTGTCTTGACCAAATCTGACCTAACATAACTCAACCTTACCTTGCTCGGGGTGGTGGTTTGGTACATAAAATGTTTGTGTAAAATGTATTGTGAGTTTTGATGTGTGGTGTCACTTTTGGAACTTGGAGGATGAGTTTTTTTTCTTTTCTCTCTTAAATTACTGAATTTCTTCAGTGTTTGGAGGTTGCATAAGGCAGTGATAGCAGGAAAAACATGACATTTTCGATCTATATGTCAGTGTGTGACTGCATCCGTCATTGAAACGTAGGTTGCACAGTAGATGTTCTCTAGGGGCTAGGTGCTAGATGTGAGTTGTTGGCTATTTTTCTACCTTTATTACATCTGTAAACAGTGTTGATATAGCAACAGCTGCAATCAGCTGTCAGCTGATTGCATAATGTTCTTGAAAGAGCGAAGTTAGGACCACCTGTTGTTTTTCGACTCGACTCAACTAATTTTGAATTTTAACTATTTAAACTGGGATGAGTCATGTGGTAGTAGCGCCTGATTGATTTGGTTAAATGCTTTGAATGTAAATGAAAGGCTTAAAAATAACATTCTAATAAAGAATTGATATATCATTGCAAAGGTGGCTGCTATGGTGCTAAATTATTGCTTGAATTTGAAATTCATCTCTGTGTTTGAACTCAGGCTAGCAGCATTGTGGTAGTGCGCCAGACTGTTATAACTAAATACTTAAATCTGTAATTAAAATTATAAAATTATTATAATCTAACATAAAGAACTGACGCTGGCAGATGGATTGTGTTTGGTGTTTGTCTATTGATAAGACAGTATTACCCATGTGCCCTCTCCTAGCAGATTCTGATTGTAATCCCGTAGTGCCTGATTGATTTGGTTAAATGCTTTGAGTTTAAATGAAAAGCTTAAAAAATATTATTCTAACAAAGATTGATAATGGCAGAGGTGTGGTAAAAAATAATATTCTAACAAAAAATTGATAATGGCAGAGGCGTGGTAGTTGTGGATTGCAGGCACTAATGTGATCTTGAAAAAGATATCGGTCAGCAGGACCGACCGACCGACCGACCGACCGACCGACCGACCGACCGACCGACCGACCGACCGACCGACCGACCGACCGACCGACCGACCGACCGACCGACCGACCCGACCCGACCCGACCCGACCCGACCCGACCCGACCCGACCCGACCCGACCCGACCCGACCCGACCCGACCCGACCCGACCCGACCCGACCCGACCCGACCCGACCCGACCCGACCCGACCCGACCCGACCCGACCCGACCCGACCCGACCCGACCCGACCCGACCCGACCCGACCCGACCCGACCCGACCCGACCCGACCCGACCCGACCCGACCCGACCCGACCCGACCCGACCCGACCCGACCCGAATTTTGAATTTTAACCATTTGAACTGGGGTGAGTCATGTGGTAGTAGTGCCTGATGGATTTGGTTAAATGCTTTGAATGGCTACAGTGTGGGCGGCAGTTCGACCCGAGGCAGGCCAGCACTGCAGCTGTGGAGCCGACATGGGGTCGCCGTGTGGTTAGAGAAGCGATCGAAATTCGAGTGTGCAATCCGTCTTTAAACCAGGGCGTGGGTAAATTCTCGCTTAGCCCCATATGGGACAGTGCTCTAAAACAGTAGTTTTTCTTTGGAAGAGGAAGTGTACCTATTGGCTATGTTTTACATATGAGAATAGGCAAGTTGTGCGTCACGTGCTGGATATTTAGAAATTTGATTGATGTGTTGCGAAAAATGGCTACCTGATTTTTGTCTGTTTTAAACCTATGTGTGCCCCATCGAACGGGACCAATAATAACTTTTACCCACTATCCAGTGAAAGTCCGTTAAAACAATTTCAAACAGTATTACCCTTTTGCCTCCTCCTAGCAGATTCCGATTGTAATCCCGTTCCTTTGTTCCATTTCCAGAATTGCTCGCAATGTCGGGTCAAACACCTCCGCCAACGTCGCCGAGTCGCCCGACCGCCGCCGACCCTCCGGGGCCAGCGCCGGAGACGGTGGCACGGCGCGCTGACGGTCTGATGGTCGATGGCGATGCAGCTGAACCCGCAAACGGTCAACGTAACGGTCAGTCCGTAGATCCGACGGTGAACGCCGCGGCCGCGAGACGGGCGCGTGATCGCGAGCGTCGTCGCCTCGCCCGAGAGCGAGAAACTGAGGCTGAGCGACTTCTTCGCCTGCAACGTAAACGTGAAGGCCAGGCTCTGGCGCGCGCTAGACAAAGAGATCAGACAGGTGGCGCGGGCCCTTCCCATCAGGCGGTAGTCGATGCAGTGCCGGTTCCCGGTCCATCGGGGGCCCAGCCGCCGGTCATCCTTGCCGCGGATATCGCTGCCGCGCGACGCGAGCGTGACCGGGAGCGTCATCGACTTAGGAGGGAGCGTGAATCGGAGGCTGAGCTCGCCGAGCGTCAGCGACGCAATCGTGAGAGAATGGCTACGGCTCGCACTAAGGTCAGGACAGGGAGAGACGGCGCAGGTCTTGAGCCACCTGTTGCTGCTGGTGTGGCGGATCAGCCGATCGCACCACCGACTGCGTTTGAACCGCCGGTGGTGGGCGGTGTCGCGGACGTCGCGCCCGGCGCGGAGGCAGTGGGCGGCGCTGTAGGAGAGGTGGCAACGCACTCGCCCGATGGTGCTGTAGATGCTGTCGAGGCGACAGTAGCCGATGCGCCAGACGACGCAGCGGCGCGCCGGCCCGCGGCCGATGCGCCCGACGCGGAGGCAGTGGGCGGCGCTGTAGGAGAGGAGGCGCCCCACACGCCCGATGGTGCTGTAGACGCTGTCGAGGTGGCAGCGGTCGATGCGCTAGACGGCGCAGCGGCGCGCCGGCCCGCGGCCGATGCGCCCGACGCGGAGGCAGTGGGCGGCGCTGTAGGAGAGGAGGCGCCCCACACGCCCGATGATGCTGTAGACGCTGTGGAGGTGGCAGCGGTCGATGCGCTAGACGGCGCAGCGGCGCGCCGGCCCGCGGCCGATGCGCCCGACGCGGAGGCAGTGGGCGGCGCTGTAGGAGAGGAGGCGCCCCACACGCCCGATGATGCTGTAGACGCTGTGGAGGCGGCAGCGGTCGATGCGCCAGACGGCGCAGCGGCCCGCCAGCCCGCGGCCGATGCGCACGACGCGGAGGCAGTGGGGGGCGCTGATGGACAGGCTCCGGTGGACGCGCCCGCCCGTCGTCGAGGCGACCAGCACCTGCTGGCTCGCAATTATGTCCCCGCCGAGTTCGAGCCGCCGGCTGGCATGCAGCTGGGCCGAATGGACACCGTCTGTGCCCATTGTGGAGCGCTGCGCTGGCGTGCCGAGCCCGCAGGCGCCTGTTGCCATCAGGGCAAGGTGCAGCTTGACTTCCATCCCCCGCCGCCGGACGAGATGGTGGAGCTGATGACCCCCGGCACGGCGTTCTATGACGAGTTTCGGGGCAAAATTCGCGCTTACAACACGGCCTTCCAGCTGGCCAGTATGGGGTGCAACGTCGTCCGACACGACGGGGCGTATCACGCGGCTTTCACCGTTCAGGGTAGCGTGTGTCATCGTATGGGATCTCTACTGCCCGCTCGCGGCGGCGAGGAGCAGTTCATGCAGGTGTATTTCCTCGACGCAGACGAGGCCACCGCGCGACGTGCCACCATGTGTGGCGGCCTCGACAGAGCCGTTCTCGACATCCTTTTGGGCATGCTGCACGAGCACAACAACTACGTGCGTGCGCTCCAGCCGGCTCTGCTGATGGCGCGCGGTGTGCCGAACTGCCGGATCGTGTTGTCGGCCGAACACCGGCCGCTGTCGGAGCACGAGCGCCGGTTCAATCTACCGATCGGTCGCGAAGTGGCGGTCCTGATGCCCAATGAGATGGGGGGCCGGCGCGACATCGTCGTTCGCGAGCGCGGCGGACAACTGTTCCGCATCGACGAACTGAGCCGCCAGTACGACCCGCTGCTCTATGTGCTGCTGCACCCGCGCGGCACGGACGGGTGGTCGCTCGAGCTGAAGGCCGAGCGCGGCGTCACAATCCGTCAGTATGGTGCGTTCCACATGCGCTTCCGACCGGGTCATTTCAATCTCATTCCGCGAGGGGGCCGGCTGTTTCAACAGTACCTGGTGGACACTGAGGCAAAAGCTGAGTCGAGTCGTCTGTCGTATGTGCGCGCGAACCAGGACGGCTTCAACGGCTTCCGCGCCGAGACCATCCGCGGCGTGCGAGACGCGCTGGCTGACGGCGAGGAGCACGGCCGAGCCGTCGGACGGCGCGTGGTGCTGCCGGCATCCGTAACGAGTAGTCCGCGCTTCATGATGGCCAAACTACAAGACGCTCTCTGCTACGTTCGAGACTTTGGCGCCGCCGACTTTTTCATCACCGTGACGTGCAACCCGGCCTGGCCAGAGATTGAGCAAACTCTGCGCACCCTCTACCCGGGAGAGAGGCCGGGCGACTACGATCGGCCGTGCGACCACCCTGACGTTGTCAGTCAGGTGTTTGACCTCAAGCTGCAGGCGCTGCTGAAGCAGCTGCGGGGCGGCATCCTGGGTCGACAGCGGGCCATTCTGCACACGATTGAGTGGCAGAAGCGTGGCCTGCCGCACGCTCACCTTCTGCTGTGGGTCGTGCCCGCCGACAAACCTCGCGCCGAAGACGTGGACACGTGCGTGTGCGCTGAGCTGCCAGATCCCGAGACCGATCCGGAACTGCACGCGATCGTCTGCACCAAGATGGTGCATGGTCCGTGCGGCGCGCTGAACCCGCAGGCGGTCTGCATGAAGGACGGCCGCTGTAGCGTCGGCTATCCGCGCCCGTATCTGGAGGCCACAGAGCTGCCAGAGCGCAGCTATCCCAAGTACAGGCGGCGCGCGCCGGAGGACGGCGGTCAACGTGCGCGGACGCCCGGACGGCGCGGTGTGGAAATCGACAACCGCTGGATCGTTCCCTACAATCCGCACATCCTTCGCGCGCTGGACTCACACGTCAACGTCGAGCTGATCACGCACGCGATGGGAGCGATCCGCTACTGCATCAAGTACGTCACCAAGGGCTCGGATAGGATCATGTTCGCCGTGCAGCCCGACGGCGTGGTTGACGAGGTGACCCAGTATCAGAACAGCCGGTACCTGGGATCCATGGAGGCAGCGTGGCGGCTGCTCGACCGACCAGTCCACGTCCATCATCCGCCGGTCCAGCGGCTGCAGCTGCATCTCGGTGACGACGAGAGACGTGTCGTGTTCCGCGGCGACGAAAACCTGGAAGCGGTCATCGCGGGCGAGCAGGCTAATCCATCCATGCTCACAGCCTTCTTTGAGCTGTGCCAGCGTGACGCGTTCGCGGCGACACTCCTCTACCCAGAGGTGCCGCGATACTACACGTGGCAGGTGCGACGCGGCCGGGGCGCAGACGCCCGTCCGGCCCACTGGAAACGCCGCGTCCGTGGCCAGCCTCACCCCGAGGTGCCGGGCGTGGTTGCCTCTGAGACTCTGTCGCGCGTGTACACCACGACGCCGCGCGCGGGCGAAGTTTTCTTTCTTCGCCTGCTCCTTCACAGCGTCCGAGGTCCGCGCTCTTACGAGCACCTCCGCACGGTCGATGGCCGCGTGTGTGCCGTTCCCCCGACTCTACTCCCACACCTACCCCCTCGGGATAATTCCGGGTTCGTCGGGTAGGAAAACTTGCCACTCTACTCCCCCCCCCCCCCCCACAGAGCCATATGGTATCGATCGGTGTTTATCCCGTGTCAATCGGTCGTCAATAAGCCGAGATATGCACGGCGAATTATTTCAATCGGCGTCGATCAGAATCTTCAGAACGGAGGGACCCACACTCATTTCTGGCCGTATCTCACTTTTCCGAGATGTACGTCAAACTACGTATTTAAAACTACATATTCTACAGCCGAATCTTCAAACTGGGGTACTTCAGACCGTGGGAATGACTCGGCTCAGCACTGCCGCACGCGCATTCAGCGGCGGCTTGTCGATTTTTCGAGTGTCGGCTGCCGATCTCCCGAGAGCCGGCCACCTGTCAGCCGCCGCTCGGCTCTGTGTTAAGCATATGGGGACGGCGAATTTCTTCCGGAGGGAAGCACCTCGCTCACAAAAGCACGTGAATCAGCCGCATTCCTGTGTGGCGCGCAATGCTGAAGAGATATGTGTTTCCGCGGGTATCTCGCAAGCCCTAACAGGAAAAGCTCGCTGCAAAAACTCAGCGCTTCAAAAAACCCGAAATCCTACTCAAATGGATATTTAAACAAGATATCTTGGCTCGCTCCGCGTCGCTTTGGCAATCAAAGTATGAGGGAGAAAATTTGGGATCGATTGGTGTTCGTCCCGTGTTAATCGGACGTCTAGAAGCTTAGATATTCACGAAAAACTTGTTGAACCTGCCAAAGTACCTGCCAGCTTGCTGTATCACCTGCTACTTGGTAATGTACTGAAAACTTGCTAATGTACTGAAAACCTGCCAAAGTACTTGGTATTTACTTGCCTAAATACCGCAAAGAACTTGTTCCTTTCCGACGTTTAAATCAGACGGCTTTAGTCGATCAAAGACTTTGCGAATTTGCCTTGGTCTCAGATAATTTTGATTTGTTCCAATGAATTATTTGTAATTTGAATTATACTTGTTCCCAATTTGTATTTTGTTTCACCTACCTATCATTTCTAACTTGTTTTAGCGTCCTACCTATTAAGCGATTACACATACGTTGAGAGAGCCGGTGGGTGGTTATAATGCAATACCCTGCACGGTGAACAGCTTGCGAGTTTTACAGCGGTGCGATTGCTGGGGCTTATCGCTGACAGAAAAGGGTAAATACAGTAAATACAGATGGCTGTGTTGGATCCCTTTGCTTTTGCCCAACATTCAGCGTTGGAATTGTGGCTTTACCGTCCCTCTTATCAAAGTTATCTAACTTTTTGTAGCTTCGTCAGGTTAGACACGACGCGCGTGACCTCTGGCGGCCGCTGGCGGAACTACCGCGCACGGCCCGCACACGGGCCTGGCGGCCGCCATTGGAACTACTGCGCAGGTGGCAGCACCTACCCGTGGAGAAGCGGCTGGCAATCGGCCGCCCCACTCCCCACCCCGCCCCCACCCAGCTGGCCGCCAGACCGTGGGAACGACTCGGCTCAGCGCTGCCGGCCGCTGGACGGGGAAACCCCGCCCCGCCGCCCGCCGCCCAACACACTGCCGCCGGGCCGGCCGGTGGAATTTTCCAGCCGTCTCTCCGGAACGGCGGCACCCCGCTCATCTTCGCACGCGCATTCAGCGGCGGCTTGTCGATTTTTCGAGTGTCGGCTGCCGATCTCCCGAGAGCCGGCCACCTGTCAGCCGCCGCTCGGCTCCGTGTTAAGCATATGGGGACGGCGAATTTCTCCCGGAGGGAAGCACCTCGCTCACAAAAGCACGTGAATCAGCCGCATTCCTGTGTGGCGCGCAATGCTGAAGAGATATGTGTTTCCGCGGGTATCTCGCAGGCCCTAAGAGAAAAAGCTCGCTGCAAAAACTCAGCGCTTCAAAAAACCCGCAATCCTACTCAAATGGATATTTAAACAAGATATCTTGACTCGCTCCGCGTCGCTTTGGCAATCAAAGTATGAGGGAGAAAATTTGGGATCGATTGGTGTTCGTCCCGTGTTAATCGGACGTCTAGAAGCTTAGATATTCACGAAAAACTTGTTGAACTTGCAAAAGTACTTGGTACTTGCTTGGTACTTGCCAAAGTACTCGGTACTTGCCAAAGTACTTGGTACTTGCTTGGTATTTGCATAAGTACTCGGTATTTGCCAAAGTACTTGGTACTTGCTTGGTATTTGCATAAGTACTTGGTACTTGCTTGGTACTTGTAAAAGTACTTGGTACTTGCTTGGTACTTGCGAAAGTACTTGGTACTTGCACTCGCCCCCCCCCCCGTTCCCCCGACTCTACTCCCACACCTACCCCCTCGGGATAATTCCGGGTTCGTCGGGTAGGAAAACTTGCCACTCTACCCCCTCCCCCCCCCCCCACACACACACAGAGCCATTTGGTATCGATCGGTGTTTATCCCGTGTCAATCGGTCGTCAATAAGCCGAGATATGCACGGCGAATTATTTCAATCGGCGTCGATCAGAATCTTCAGAACGGAGGGACCCACACTCATTTCTGGCCGTATCTCACTTTTCCGAGATGTACGTCAAACTACGTATTTAAAACTACATATTCTAAGGCCGAATCTTCAAACTGGGGGTACCTCAGACCGTGGGAACGACTCGGCTCAGCACTGCCGCACGCGCATTCAGCGGCGGGTTGTCGATTTTTCGAGTGTCGGCTGCCGATCTCCCGAGAGCCGGCCACCTGTCAGCCGCCGCTCGGCTCTGTGTTAAGCATATGGGGACGGCGAATTTCTCCCGGAGGGAAGCACCTCGCTCACAAAAGCACGTGAATCAGCCGCATTCCTGTGTGGCGCGCAATGCTGAAGAGATATGTGTTTCCGCGGGTATCTCGCAGGCCCTAACAGGAAAAGCTCGCTGCAAAAACTGAGCGTTTCAAATAACGCCAAATCCTAGTCAAATGGATATTTAAACAAGATATCTTGGCTCGCTCCGCGTCGCTTTGGCAATCAAAGTATGAGGGAGAAAATTTGGGATCGATTGGTGTTCGTCCCGTGTTAATCGGACGTCTAGAAGCTTAGATATTCACGAAAAACTTGTTTAACTTGCAAAAGTACTTGGTACTTGCTTGGTACTTGCCAAAGTACTCGGTACTTGCCAAAGTACTTGGTACTTGCTTGGTATTTGCATAAGTACTCGGTATTTGCCAAAGTACTTGGTACTTGCTTGGTATTTGCATAAGTACTTGGTACTTGCTTGGTACTTGTAAAAGTACTTGGTACTTGCTTGGTACTTGCGAAAGTACTTGGTACTTGCACTCGCCCCCCCCCCCGTTCCCCCGACTCTACTCCCACACCTACCCCCTCGGGATAATTCCGGGTTCGTCGGGTAGGAAAACTTGCCACTCTACCCCCTCCCCCCCCCACACACACACAGAGCCATTTGGTATCGATCGGTGTTTATCCCGTGTCAATCGGTCGTCAATAAGCCGAGATATGCACGGCGAATTATTTCAATCGGCGTCGATCAGAATCTTCAGAACGGAGGGACCCACACTCATTTCTGGCCGTATCTCACTTTTCCGAGATGTACGTCAAACTACGTATTTAAAACTACATATTCTAAGGCCGAATCTTCAAACTGGGGGTACCTCAGACCGTGGGAACGACTCGGCTCAGCACTGCCGCACGCGCATTCAGCGGCGGGTTGTCGATTTTTCGAGTGTCGGCTGCCGATCTCCCGAGAGCCGGCCACCTGTCAGCCGCCGCTCGGCTCTGTGTTAAGCATATGGGGACGGCGAATTTCTCCCGGAGGGAAGCACCTCGCTCACAAAAGCACGTGAATCAGCCGCATTCCTGTGTGGCGCGCAATGCTGAAGAGATATGTGTTTCCGCGGGTATCTCGCAGGCCCTAACAGGAAAAGCTCGCTGCAAAAACTGAGCGTTTCAAATAACGCCAAATCCTACTCAAATGGATATTTAAACAAGATATCTTGGCTCGCTCCGCGTCGCTTTGGCAATCAAAGTATGAGGGAGAAAATTTGGGATCGATTGGTGTTCGTCCCGTGTTAATCGGACGTCTAGAAGCTTAGATATTCACGAAAAACTTGTTGAACCTGCCAAAGTACCTGCCAGCTTGCTGTATCACCTGCTACTTGGTAATGTACTGAAAACTTGCTAATGTACTGAAAACCTGCCAAAGTACTTGGTATTTACTTGCCTAAATACCGCAAAGAACTTGTTCCTTTCCGACGTTTAAATCAGACGTCTTTAGTCGATCAAAGACTTTGCGAATTTGCCTTGGTCTCAGATAATTTTGATTTGTTCCAATGAATTATTTGTAATTTGAATTATACTTGTTCCCAATTTGTATTTTGTTTCACCTACCTATCATTTCTAACTTGTTTTAGCGTCCTACCTATTAAGCGATTACACATACGTAGAGAGAGCCGGTGGGTGGTTATAATGCAATACCCTGCACGGTGAACAGCTTGCGAGTTTTACAGCGGTGCGATTGCTGGGGCTTATCGCTGACAGAAAAGGGTAAATACAGTAAATACAGATGGCTGTGTTGGATCCCTTTGCTTTTGCCCAACATTCAGCGTTGGAATTGTGGCTTTACCGTCCCTCTTATCAAAGTTATCTAACTTTTTGTAGCTTCGTCAGGTTAGACACGACGCGCGTGACCTCTGGCGGCCGCTGGCGGAACTACCGCGCACGGCCCGCACACGGGCCTGGCGGCCGCCATTGGAACTACTGCGCAGGTGGCAGCACCTACCCGTGGA